AGTGGCAGAAGATGACACAGTGGATTACAAACTGAATAGAAGTTGAGCCGGTATGACACAATCCGAAACAAGCTAAATCTAGAGTGGCAGAAGATGACACAGTGGGTTACAAACTGAATAGAAGGTGAGCCAGTATGGCACAATCCGAAACAAGCTAAATCTAGAGTGGCAGAAGATGACATAGTGGGTTACAAACTGAATAGAAGATGAAACATTGTGGCACAAATTGAAAGAAGCCAAATCTAGGAAGGAAGGAGGTGACACAAAGGGTTACTAACTTGTGTCACATTCTCTTCATTTTGTAACCCACAAAGCCAATTTCTGTCACCCTAGATTTAGCTTTATACGGATTATGTCACACTGTCTCATCCTGTTTTTGGTTTGTAACCCATATGTCACCTTCTTCCACCCCTTTTTCAGCTTGTGCCACACTGCATTATCGTCTCTTGTGGTTCACTGATGCTTAAAACAACAGAAAGCTAGAATATGGATCCAGCAATAATGGACTTCCTTATGTAATTTACTCTAAGGCTGGACATTGTTCTCGTTTGACTGTAATATTATATAAATTGTAAAGTCAGAATACCTTAATGTTTCAATAAAAGTTGCACTTATTTTTCAGATTACTCTACACGAGACCTAGCAAAATGGAGGGGGGGGGGGTAGGTAATGTTACAAGCAGGTAGTATGTGTCCTAGATAAGTGGGGGTGTAATGTTCTGGTTATCAATTTGCGTCATTCTTACAAAAGCAAAAAAAAAAAAAGAAAGTGATAAAAAAACTACCCCACAAGTGGTTTCACGTGTATAACGTAGAGGCTAAGAAAATACTGGACTTAGGCAGAGAAAGAAGTTTGCCTGTTTGTAGTTAAAAATGAAGCTACAAAATGGGCTATCTGAGCTGTGCCCGCCACGGCTTTATCGAAACCTAGTTTTTAGTATTATAAGTCCCCAGACTTACCGCTGTGCCACTGGAAGGCCAGAAGAAAACGAGACAACGCTTTGATACTATTTGTTTAAAAAAAAACAATTTATATAACAATATTGTCTGTCCCTCAAAAACATTGTTGATCAACTGATTAAAGTCGTAGACGTATATCACAGCTTGCATAACCTTTCTACTTTGACCTTCAGAATGAAACCAAACTTCTTCCTCAGTACATAAGATCAACGCTCGCTACTCGTGTAATAGAATAGTCTAAGGCTAGGTTCCTTTTTTATAATATGGGTATCAATATTAATTTGAAAATTTAAGCAAAATGTAGAAATTATGACAACAATGCAGTTGTACGCGTAGGTCTCTGGCCGATGTAATAGAAACAACGTTGAAACGGCCGTTTCAAGTAATGAAAGAGAGAATATAGAAGTTAACAGAGCAGGAGAGAATAAATGTGTGTGTGTGTGTACTTTGTACGGCGTTTAGCTACGTTTTCTGAACTTAATAATATTTGTGTTCGATTTCGGGTTTCCGGGTATTTTTTATAGCGGGTACCCGGTTTCAGAAATTCCACCCTTAGCGACCTCTAGTTTCAACGATGTTAGTTGACGTTCCTGTTATAGAATTCGTTTTTATTCATTACAAAATGATACTTTTTTTGGTAAATGTATGTATTTGTCTAACACCAATTAGTATGACAGGACATTATCACTCGTTAAAATTAATTACAAAGTTGTTGTTTTATATCCTATAGCCCACCACACGTTAATGATGCGATTACTTTATGGTGAACAATTTCTTGTTGTTGTTGTTGTTTCAAGGTTTCCGTGATTATAGCAAAGCTACTAAGGATATATTCTGTTGTCCTCAATCTTTAAACTGCTGACGACAAGAAAAGCAACGGGCTGAAGCATCCGCCGTCAACTCTTGAGCTACTTCTTATTAACTAATAGTGGAATTAATCGCAGAATTATAAAACACCCACTGCTGAAAGGGTGAGCATGTTCAGCGTCGGGTTTCGATCTCACAACTCACAGACCATACCACACCCTTCAAGGTTGCAACAAGTTAATTTGTCACGGAACAATGATTTCGGAATCATAAACCTGGAACTGAGAATTTCTCTTAAATGTTACGTATTGTTGGCAACAAAACCTGATGAAAATGACCGAAAGTTTCGAATAATGCTAGAGAACGGGTAACTAGATGGATTTCTGTTTCTTTCTTAACTGAAAGCAAAGCTGCAAAAGCTGCCACTCCCAACAGGAAAATAATGACATAGTTCAGGAAGAAAGAGCTACTGGACAAAGTGAGTTGGCCTGCTGTAAAATACAACGTAGTTGTTTTTTTGGTGATTCAAAATCAGACGTCATGGAACGTTTTTGAAAGTGTATTTCAACGAGAACCTACACCTTGCTATTCTTCGGTTACAGATATCGCAAGCGTTTTTCGCCAGAGTGTTTTCAGCGCACGTGATACAGAATACATTAAATGATTGTAAGCAAATAACTTGAGTGTTAGAACATATGTTCGAGATGGCGGCGTATCTAACTCCGTGCATTTCTTGTAAGTTGTATAATAGAAGCTCCAAAGATAACTGTACTGAAACTATTGTACTCGCTATCGCTTCAGTATCATTTCGGGGTCCTACTTCGTGAGAGTTCCAAACGCTCCCTCACTCAAGTTATCTAAGTTATTACGTAAACATCCACCCCTTGTAGGTACTTAGTTTTTGGAAACTTCCTTTTAGTTTTGAAAACTTCCTTACATTATCTTATACGGCAGCGCTCAGAGAAACTCTGTATTTTATGTTCATTTACGCGTAAATCTATCGAAGTTTAACCATCCCTAATTTTAAAGCGATAGACTAGAGGGAAGGCGGCTAATCAACGCCACCCATCGCCAACTCTTAGACTACTCCTTTACCAACTGTTTTATGTTATTACGCCCCCGCTGCTGAAAGTGGTGAGTATGTTCGGTAGCGGGATTCGCATCCACGACCCGTAGATTGCCAGCCGAGTGCTCTGACTACCAGGCCATGCCAGGCTCAAAACGTGGAATCAAGCTACCATTTCTTTTTCAGTTCTAATCTTATGACAAACTTTTCAGCCATGATAATCACTGACAACACCAAATACTATAAAAACTCAGGTTTATGCATTAAACGTTAATTCAATTGGTTGATACATCATTTTATACATATATATTTTTTTTCAATGAGATTAATACGGTTTTCTAGTACGTTTAATGCGGTTTTCTAGACAACCATGACGTATCCGTATTTTGCACTTATGGCAAACATACTATGGCTGTCTGTCGCCGTCCATAGTTTTAAACTGTTAATAAGAGTAAAGGCAGCCAGTCAGCAGCACCCTACCATCCACCATCTAAGTCAGCTCCGAAATCCAAATCTCCACAACAGGACCGCGCCCACCATGATGTAAAGTAGCTAATTTGTTTCAGTATGTATATCTGTGTATTTATTTGTTGGTATTGATATTTTAAACATGAAAGACCTCATGCTGAAACGTGCTAGACTAGGTCAGAGGCCCATATGATCAGGTAGATTCATCCCTAGTTTTAAACTACTGACCAAAGAGAATACAGCCAGTCATTAGCACCCGCCGCCACAAGAGCTTTGAGTAGAATAACGGGATTGAATGTCACTCTTATAACCACTCACAGCTGACAGTGCAGATCGTGTTTGGTAGCATCTCGGTGCTAACCTTGGACCTTACGGCCCGATGCCCGCCAAGCTAATCACAAGACAACTATTAACCTCTCTATTTGTTAAATATTTGCCTATAGCGAATTGTCATTATGTATATTAGGAGTCTTATACCAAAATAAAGATGGCGTTAAAATTCAAAATAATGAAACAATCCAGTCTGTTTCACAAAAAAAAACAGGGTACCAAATTAAACACAATGTCAAGAAGAAATTTAATTCTTTAACAAAAAGTTTAATTTTAGAAAGACGTTTTAATAATAATTGTTAATCGGGTAAATTTAGAAAGTTCATCATTTAAAGAAAACGAAACTTTGAAGTATGTCCAGTGATTTTATGCTGTAACTGAGTAACTATGTATAAATATATTATATTAGCTAAAAACCAGTTAGTTTTGAAATACTTTACAACAACTGAGATCGCGTATAGAGATTTAAATCGTACAACTTATGTCAACTGGTTATATGTTGTCAGTTTGTGAGAACACAACTTATGTCAACTGGTTATATGTTGTCAGTTTGTGAGAACACAACTTATGTCAATTGGTTGTATACTGTCAGTTTGTGAGAACACAACTTATGTCAATTGGTTGTATGTTGTCAGTTTGTGAGAACACAACTTATGACAGTTTTTGAGAATTGTTGTTGTTCTTTGCGGTTTTTCACAATTGCGTGTATTTTGTCAGTTTCAGAATCAAAACTTTTGACATCTTCTGTCAGCTAGTTGTATTTTTGTTTCACAGTTTCTGCAAAATGGTTATATTTTGTTAGTTCCAGAGTCACACCTTTTTATAGTTTCTGAGAATTGTTTGTGTTTTTGTTTCACCTAACAGAACAAACTTCGTTACCTAACCTAAAATAACAACTATGTTACCTAACCTAACAACGAAGTTTGTTCTGTTAGGTTAGGTAACATAGTTTGTTCTGTTAGGTTAGGTAACATAGTTGTTATTTTAGGTTAGGTAACATAGTTTGTTCTGTTAGGTTAGGTAACATAGTTTGTTCTGTTAGGTTAGGTAGCATAGTTTGTTCTACCTGGATTCTTCTAAATGTGTTTCCTACACAGAAAGTGGAAAATATTTTTCTGTCAGATCTCTAAATAATCATTTTAATCGACTAATGCTTACCGTTGTTGAAACATTAAACAAAACACTCCATCTATTTTATTTTTTATAATAGAGAATTATTATGTGCAAATATTCCTTTCGTCCGCTAGGAATTACTCATCAGGTGGGGTAGCGTGAAACATAACTCGTGACTTCTAAACAATCCAATTCTTACCGTATCACAATTCACGTGGTATCGATCGAAAGTACTTGTCAAAGTTTATAACGCTTGAGTCAGAGGTTCTCAACTGTACTTGAAGTAAAGATAAGATTGGGCTTTGAGGATAATATATCCACAAGATCTTTACGGATTAATCTTGACACGCTTCTGAACGAACTTATTTAAGCCTAGGTGACGGATTGATTTTTCGAAATCATTTCGACGACAGGAGTTGTCTCCTTTAATCCAAAGAACTGAGAACCAGCTAAATAATGTTTGTCGTAATTTGGTCAACGCTGAAAAAAATATTCCGCATTCGCAAGACACTCTTCGCCTTTCTCATACCACTATTATTGATACCAATTCCAGCTAAGATCGGAACTCCGGTAAGCTTGATTTTTGTTTCTTTTGTTGTTGTTAAACTCAAACTTAACGCAATGAGCTGTCTGTGCTCTCCCCCAGTGAGTATTGTTTGTGTATGACCTTCAGGAACGTATGTGATATTTCAGTGGTTCTCGAATGACTGTTGTTTGTGTATGACCTTCAGGAACGTATGTGATATTTCGATGGTTCTCGAATGACAATGTGTTATGTATGATCTCGAGGAACTTATGTATTACTTCAATGGTTCTCGAATGACTGTTGTTTGTGTATGACCTTCAGGAACGTATGTGATATTTCGATGGTTCTCGAATGACAATGTGTTATGTATGATCTCGAGGAACTTATGTATTACTTCAATGGTTCTCGAATGACTACTTTTTGTGTATGACTTTCAGGAACGTATGTGATGGAACATCTATCTCACTGTAAGGTTTCAGTAAAATACCAATATTTTGTTAAATTTCCACTGATACAAAAATATTATATAAGAATATACATAGCATTTATTTCTGTCTAGTCAATTTCAAATGAAACGTACAACGAGAACTTATACTATTTAATACAGGGAGTTGAACTTAAGCTCTAAATGATGATTCAGTTAATTAAAGTTAATTAGTGAACCGGTAAATGTCAAACAAAAGTCCCAATTCTGGAGCAGCATAACCGGCATTAAGATTCGGGTTTTGTATACAACAAAATTAGTGTTAAAAAACTTAAGGCTGTGTAAAATAAGTACTTTCATAGAATATAAGTTGGGTTTTTGTTAAGCGCAGAGCTGTCTGTGCTCTGCCCACCACGCGTATCAAAACCCACTTTTTAGCGTCGTAAGCCTGCAAACTTACCATTGAGCCACTGGTGGACTGAAACTAACGAACCTTCATGAACTGTAACGATTACGATGAGAAGTTCTAACAGCTATCTTAGATTCCACGCGCACTAACTTATATGAATGTCGTTTTCTATGCTTGTTTTTAAGAAGATTATAGATGCCCCCCCTTTTTTCAGAATCTATTATTCTCGAAAAGTTTACCTGATGAAGTAGTAAGTTTGTTGTGATATTATCAGAAAGGTTTACATTTACGATTTTTTAGGAAAGAATCAGAGTCAGGTGTTAAGAAATGGAATAACATTAATGTGAATTTGGCTGGTTCTTATGGTTCTATTATGGAGCCTAGAAATAACATTAATGTGAATTTGGCTGGTTCTTATGGTTCTGTTATGGAACCTAATAATAATAATGTGAATTTGACTGGTTCTTATGGTTTTATTATGGAACCTAATAATAATAATGTGAATTTGGTTGGTTCTTATGGTTCTATTATGGAACCTAATAATAATAATGTGAATTTGGCTGGTTCTTATGGTTCTGTTATGGAGCCTAGTAATAATAATAATGTGAATTTGGCTGGTTCTTATGGTTCTATTATGGAGCCTAATAACACTACTGTGAATCTGGCTGGTTCTTATGGTTCTATTATGGAGCCTAATAACACTACTGTGAATTTGGCTGGTTCTTATGGTTCTATTATGGAACCTAATAATAATAATAATAATGTGAATTTGGCTGGTTCTTATGGTTCTATTATGGAACATAATAATAATAATAATGTGAATTTGGCTGGTTCTTATGGTTCTATTATGGAGCCTAATAACACTACTGTGAATTTGGCTGGTTCTTATGGTTCTATTATGGAACATAATAATAATAATAATGTGAATTTGGCTGGTTCTTATGGTTCTATTATGGAACCTAATAATAATAATGTGAATTTGGCTGGTTCTTATGGTTCTATTATGGAACCTAATAATAATAATGTGAATTTGGCTGGTTCATATGGTTCTATTATGGAACCTAATAATAATAATTTGAATTTGGCTGGTTCTTATGGTTCTATTATGGAGCCTAATAACACTACTGTGAATTTGGCTGGTTCCTGTGTTTCTTTTAATTCCCCAAAAGAGTGCCGAAGACCGCCTGAAGGGGGCACCTGTTTTAACCACTCGCACCACAATACAGTAGTGTATTGTCTGTCAGTCAGTCAGTAGGGATTAAAATGACGTCACATAAGGCACGCTTAACGTTGCGATTTGTACTGTCGTGACGTCAGTAAAACGTGCGAATGCCATGAATCACGAGAAGAATTACGCACTCTGTAGGCTACAACACAGCATGATATATGAACTTCAAAATCAAGAAATAAAAATATGTGTTGCTCTTAATTTTGATTTTATTTCCTCCTGAAACATAAGACTTTCGGGGACCCTGTATAACTAGTTGTTAATCATTATATTATTAAAAAAATACATTATTACAATTCTGAATTTGTCTTCATTGTTATACAGAACGAAACATTTAGCCGCTAGTATTTAATATTTTTATTTATTTATTTTTTTGGAAGCGTAGTCCATTCATATCAAAAGCATATGTTACATAAAACAATTTTCAGCAACTATTGTATGTTATCGAAAACAAAGATATAGTTACGGCTCTGTTAGAGATGTTTTAAGAGCTTTCAACATGACCTATAGTATCTTCTAAATCTTTTGTTTTCTCGAAACGTCAAGAGCTTTATATTTCTATTAAATGAAATAAGAAGTTAGAGGTCTAGAAGAAAAAACAATCAAACTTCAAAGCAAACGTTTTATTCTTGTGTGCGACTTTATTGATGAACACGTCTATTGTACCAGCTGTAACTGTATCGTAAACGTTTTATTACTGTGAGCGACTTCATTGATGAACACGTCTATTGTACCAGCTGTAACTGTATCTTAAACGTTTTATTGTTGTGAGCGACTTCATTGATGAACACGTCTATTGTACCAACGATTTTATCAGCTTGCTTTATATTGTTATAGATAATAAAAAGGTCTAAGACATTCAAAATCCATTTGTTGTACAGTTAACCTTGGAACCATGGTTTCTTATCTCTAATTGTCCGAATTATTTGTAAACATTTCTGTTGAATTTCTGTTCTTTCCAAATCACCTAAAGATATGAGACATTCTATGAATCTACTAACACTTCAAAATATATGGACTCAATTACTACTTCTAAACTGAATGAATAATTTGAACAAAAAACTTGAACTGATAAAAAATTCGCATTGAACGTACTCTTCATGACACGTTGCAACATATGAGTATACAAATAATCTTTCTCGGTGTCATTAATGAAATTAAATACTATTTGTATCAGTTTTTAACAAATCATTAATGTATTGTAGAACCTCAAATGTAACTAAGTTAGCTATTTGTATGTATTATTAATGATATCATTACTAACATTGTTTGTAGGAAGCAAAATGTGCCTATGTTCTCTTATTAATGGCCTGTTTTTGGCTAATGGAAATTATGCCTCTCGCCGTCACTGCCTTGATACCTGTAGTTTTTCTTCCATTGTTTGGCATACTCAGCACAGACGAAACCTGCAAAATTTATATGAAGGTAAGCCTAATTCTTACAATGACCGATTTATTCATCTTTCAGTAAATTACTGTGACAAAAGTCGTTTTAAATTAAATGTTAAACACTTCATCTGTTGTAAGTGCTCGTTCAGACAACAATTGATTACTAGAAATTGAGAAGTGTAGCCTTAAATTTCATTGAGATGATGAACCGTATAAAATCGCATCGCAATGAACTGACTTAATCCTTCGACCGATTTGTGTTCATGACACCTATAAGTACTCGAAATAAAAAAAACTATTTGTTTAGTTAAAATATGTGATGATTTTATAAATTTTAAACCACGTGTTATGGTGAAATTGAAGTTGTAAAACATTTTAATTTAGACAAAACCTGGTTTGTATCTTCAATTTGTAAGAACTGAAAAAAAACATATTCGGGTTATGTTAATGTTCACGTTTGGAAAGTTTCTATATATAGAGGAATGTTCAGCTATTAAAGCCCACAAATAATCCTTGAATAATAAACATTAAACCTAGGAATCCTATGAATAAACCAACCATAAATAATCTTTCAGTGAGAAATAATTATTAAAAATTCATTTCGTTTTCTTACACAAAGAACACGTTATATTCGACATTTTGATACATATTATTAACCCTTGTAAAGCCTTTTTTTTTATTTGTAGATGCGTTTGTTTGTTTTAAAAGTAAAGTCACGTTAGACTCTCTGTTGTGTCCACCATATAGAATCAGACCATGGATTTTAACGTTGTAAGTTCGTAAACTTACCGCTGTCCCACCAGGGTGACTTTTAGGTGCTTGGGGGAGGGGGGGGGGGTCTTCATAAAGGATCACTCTCTTCAACATAAATAACACATTCTGTCATTTTTGGTTTAGGTTTTCTTAACATCATTTGGATAGAACTCAAAGTACCTGTTTAAAGTCATGGTTCTTGAGTCAAGTTTAACAGATTAGTCCTTTTTATTTAGAATATCCTATTCTGTGTCTTATAATTTGAAAAAGAGGACTGCACTATCATAAATAGTGACTGATATTTAACCTGTAAAGCTGGAACAGAGGCATGTCTGCGGACTTATACTGCTGGAAACCTGGTTTCGATACCCATTGTGGGCAGAGTAGAGATAGCCCTTTGTGTGGCTTTGTGCTTAATAACAAACAACAACGTTTTTCTAATTCAAGGTACATAAATAACTATAAGTGATCCTGAGTGAATGTTACTTTTGTTTGTATAGGAGATCAATATGATATTTCTGGGTAGTCTGATAGCGGCCACGGCAGTGGAGCATTGTAACCTCCATAACCGACTCGCTCTGAGGATTCTGTTGTTAGTCGGAACATCACCACGCTGGTGAGTAGAAGGATCACATTCAATTCTTTTCTCCCTGTGGAACAGATAAAGCTTTTTGTTAGTGTTATTCAAAGTGGCTGAATATTTTGAGCTTAGGAGTAAAAGTGATGTGTGTTTACTTCAAAATAAAGTCAGACATTCCTTTCTAATCCAAGTGACCGAGTACATTATTTTGTATTGTAAAAATGACAACCGTGTTGTTTATACCCCAGATGAATGTTGGGTTTCATGCTGACTACCGTACAGTTTATATTCTTAAATTAATGTCGGGTTTCATGCTGACTACCGTACCGTTTTTCTTATTAAATTAATGTTGGGTTTCATGCTGACTACCGTACTGTTTTTCTTCTTAGAATAATGTTGGGTTTCATGCTGACTACTGTTGGTTTTGTTTTTCAGGTTAATGTTGGGTTTCATACTGACTACCGTATTGTTTTTCTTCTTAGAATAATGTTGGGTTTCACGCTGACTACCGTACAGTTTATATTCTTAAATTAATGTCGGGTTTCATGCTGACTACCGTACCGTTTTTCTTATTAAATTAATGTTGAGTTTCATGCTGACTACCGTACTGTTTTTCTTCGTAGGTTAATGTTGGGTTTCACGCTGAGTACCGTACAGTTTATATTCTTAAATTAATGTTGGGTTTCATGCTGACTACCGTACAGTTTCTATTCTTAAATTAATGTCGGGTTTCATGCTGACTACCGTACCGTTTTTCTTATTAAATTAATGTTGAGTTTCATGCTGACTACCGTACTGTTTTTCTTATTAAATTAATGTTGGGTTTCACGCTGAGTACCGTACAGTTTATATTCTTAAATTAATGTTGGGTTTCATGCTGACTACCGTACTGTTTTTCTTATTAAATTAATGTTGGGTTTCACGCTGACTACCGTACTGTTTTTCTTCGTAGGTT